GACAGTCTAATAATGCTAATTATAATAAACACCGGAATACAGCTTTAAGATTGTCTACCGTTTACCAAAAATTAAGGGAACATTGTAGCGCTCCAAAGGTAAGTAATTCTTGCTGAAACCGGCCCACTAGTTTTTCGTGGTTCTAAAGTATTGGATGGTTTCAATTGATATATTTCTGAAAATTCTTGCATATTTTCCTAATGTTTAAATACCATTCGAAAGAGAAGCTTCAGGGTTTTCATTTGGCATTTTTAGAATTTTTCACGGCCTTATTTAAATTAGCCGCCATATTAGATTTTTTCTAAGAAATTAGTTTTTCATAAGTTTGTTTACCACCAACTTAAAAACTATGTAGGCCATTTGAAAGCTGATGCTTTTTCGTATAACCCAAGCAACACACATGTTCCATAACAGTTTATATAACCTTTGTTTGACTGGTTTTGGTTTTAAAGCAGTTCTACTACGCTACTCTCAACATAATTCTATGAATTTACGTTACTGGGATAAGATACATATCAAACTATAATCGAGACATTTGTTTAGTACAAGATTTTTTAGAGTAAGCGACACCGGTGTTGTAGTTGTAAGCGTGATTGCCTCTCACCCCAAAGAGCCTGAGTTTGATCCCAGTCGGTGCCGCTGGGATTTTCTGAGGCATAACATCTCTGATCACGCCTTCCTTCGGAAGGGAAGTAAAGCCGTTGGTCCCCGATCCATTAGATGGGTTGATAGGTAGGGTCCAGGTCTGGGAGCTGCATTCCTGGTGTCGGTAGCATTGGTACGGGAAACAAGATCGACGGAAAACAAATCAAGGAAAAACTGGAATTTTTAGAGATGCACAGCAAAAACAAAATTTTAATATTAGGGGTCATCCATTAATTATGTCACACATTTAGGGGGGAGGGGGGTGTTTTGAAAACTGTGGCGAGCCATACAAAAAAAAATTAAGGTCCATACAAAAAATGTGACAAAGGGGGGAGGGGGGTTGAAAATGGGCCGAATTTGCGTGACATAATTAATGGACCATCCCTTACATACAAGATGCACTGATATCTGTGATATCCATACCATTTTTAAAACCGTTCATGCAATCTTGTCAAAAGAATCAACGGAAGAGATTGTATTTAACATATGGAAGTTTGTGCTCAGGATCAAGGAATCTAAAATATCTCCAAACGACAAAATGACAAGCGATCAACGAACCGACTGATAACGCTATGTCAGAAGTGGAAAGCAATAATGATATCTCGAATAACATTTGAAATGGGCATATGTCCAAAACGTAAACAAATCGGGTTTTGATACTATTCTTTAGCTCCGCTTGATAGCTACTGATCGTGTGGGAAAGTTCCGCATAATGGAGAAAAATCATTAAAAATTACCCGATTTTCGAAACGACCGATCAACGAAATTTTTCGATTCATTAATAGGCACCCTAAAACGGCCAACCATTCATTTATTTAATTTCATTGATAAGCCTAGTGACGTACAAGGGCCGATGATTGAACATGTTCAAACCAAAGCAAGGCCCTACTGGTTGAGGCAGGGCTGATGATGTTTTGAATTTATTTGACGTTGCGAAAAGGCTTAGCAAAGGGCATACCATTTGTGATGACAAGCTTAACAAAAGGGCCTATCCATTGAAAGATACACAAAAAGTATTATTAATTTATGAAATTAAATTGTTATCGATTTTCATATATTTTTGAAAGCTTTTCGCATATGTTGGATGTTGTATACTGAGATACAGTTTTTTTTATTACTGTGAACAATTTAAATGCCTAAAATACTTCAATTTTCTTAAATATGAATTGAATAGTGGCGGAAAAATTTAAAATTCATTTCCTGGTTTGTTTACGTTTTGGGCATAGGCCCATTTCAAATGTTACTCTAGATATAATCTTCTTCCTTTTTTTCATGACAAGCAGCCCGTGCGACACAGTTCGCTCGGGGTGGTAGAAGGAAACGTGCAAATTGTTGGCAAGCTGCTTAACGAAGTAAAGCCGAAGATGATACACGTGTGTTAATGTGATTTTTTTTGTTATGATTGTCTTATCGGTGTATATTGCAACAAAGCAGGCAAGCAATATATCAATATCCTTCTACCAGGGTTGCTTCCACTCACTTGCTATAAAAACATATTTTTCGAAATTATGCAATCATTAGATGATATAATGATATGTTGTACTTGTATGTATCGAGAAGAGGGTGCAAATTATGTGTTTGGCTCATAAAACCTGTCAATTTCGCTTCCAGAGCGTCACAATAAGCGATCTTATGATTCGTGAGCGTTCACTCAGAGTGAGCACTCACGAGTCATAAAATCGCTGATTGTGACGCACTGAAAGCAATATTGACAGATTTTATGTGTCAAACACACACTTCACTTCTTCTTCTTGTAACTTACAAGTACTAATTATCACTATACCGTCTCATGATTTCATAATTCTAAAAAACTTTTTTTTTATAGCAAGTGAGTGGAAGTAATCCTGCCTTCTACCACTTCGATTGAGCTATGTTACAGAGCGAGTTTGTCATGGTAGTCGTAGCAACCGTTTTGTCTGTATCGTTGGTTGCTTTATGTATTTGGATGCACTGCTCAGGATACATGATTAAGCGTGTGATTTAACATGCTGTAGTATTCGTTTTATCTAATATTTAAATGTGAAACGAATTTTCAGCGATGGAAGCGCCTTTGTGGCCAAAAAGGCTACCAATGTATTTGTTTATCTTCACTAGGGGTAAACCAAATGATTTTTTTTTATATTATTTTAAATGTATGTAAAGGGTGTCCCACATCAAATTACATCACGGAAAAAAACGCTGTAGAAAATTACCTAGTCGGATCGATCACCTTTTCAAACTTTCAGACAATAAAATTTAACAAATAATCAGTAAGCTTTTGGCATATTTATTTTATTCAACTTCAATACCATAATCGTACGCTTAACTCCACTCATTAGGTTCTGTACAACATCTGGCTGCAGCTTCTTCTGTACGGAAACCCACTTTTTCTTCATGTCTTCCTCCGATTTGACCTCCTTGGGGTGCTTCCTTAGTGCCTGCTTCATAATAGCCCAGTATTTTTCGATTACCCTTAGTTCCGGTGCGTTGGGAGCGTTCATGTCCTTGGGTACGAAAGTGACCCTGTTGGCTTCGTACTACTCCAGGACAACATTTGAATAGTGGCACGAAGCAAGATCTGGCCAGGAGATCGTAGGGCCCTCGTGTTGCTTCAGCAGAGGAAGCAGACGCTTCTTAGACACTCCTTTACAGTCCCGGTAGTCACGAACGGCGCACTCCGTTTACCACATGAACAGATCGCTTGCCAAATCATTTATTTCTTGGCAAACTTTCCGCCGGAACATCAAACTTGTGCTGGGCGGTGAAAAACAGTAGCCCCGGAAGCTGCCGGAAGTCCGCCTTGACGTAAGTCTCATCATCCATGATGAGACAATGAGGCTTCGTCATCATCTGGGTGTACAGTTTCCGGGCCCTTGACTTTCCCACCGTTGGTCACGATTTGGAGCCTTCTGCACTTAGTACGTATGCAGTCCCTTCCGGTCCTTGGCTCTCTGAACGAAAGGCTTGGACAGATTCAACTTTTTGGCCACATCCCTGACAGAAGCATTGGGATTCCGCTTAAACGCTTTCACGACACGCTTGTGATCCTGATCACTAATAGAACATCCATTCTGACCGTATTTCTCCTTTTGTTCGATGCTCAGACTTTCGTAGTAACGTTTAATCACACGACTCACCGTGGACTGCACGATTCCGAGTTGTTTCCCGATGAGAGAGTTGGGAATTTTCCAAGTGCTTGCGCAAAATCAATTCGCGACGTTGCTTTATATATACAGTTGCTTTATAAAATACGGTGTAAACAATACACTCTAAACTACTTCTACCCAATGGGTAATTTTCTACAGCGTTTTTTCCGTGATGCGATTTGATCAGGGACACCCTTTAACTACTAGTTTAAATCATGGTCTACAGAACCCTCTTAAATCCAGAAATGGTACTTGGAATATTTCAAGGTCAGGTGCACTTCCCAAACCCGACACGGCTACAGTTCAAGTTCAAAAACATTTCCATCATCCCACAACGCTATTCATCTGAATGTGATAATGCAGCTTGTTGTATAGACGACAACGACGACGATGAAGCGTGAAACACGCATAATACCGCCATGAAACAGCCGCATGTGGCATAAGTGGAATTATCCCTAACTAACTCTTTAAAGTGGCTACGTTGCTCTAGACTCGCCGAATGTATGTATGTAGGTATGTGCATCCACCTTTGTCAAATCAAAAATTTAGAATAGTACACGCGAATGTCTTTGCTAGTTCTCGACTTACTACTATCAGTTGTTGCTCCAGAATCAGTTTGCTAGCCTCTCTACCCCAAATCAAGTGAATCTCACTCGACGAAATGATATTGACGCCTATATGTGTAGCAGCACATCATTTACGACTCAGTGAGTACAGAGTTTTCCATATGTCATGAGAGGGTATGATTGCTATACTATCTGTAGGGATAGGAGAATACGGGGAAGGTCGGTGGCGGCAGCAGTTTGTCGTTCCAAAGTCTGCACCGGCAACACGAGATCATATCGGGTGTCGTATCGTGTGATATGTTTTGATGATATGCCACACACTCGTTCGCTGCAATTTGCAATTGTCTCACTGCTGGTCCGTGCATCACCATGCCGCCGCCGCCACCGCCGCTCGTCCACCGGATACCTAACATACATAGCAGTTTCCACATCAACATGACATGTGACTGGGAGCAATATGGTTTTTTATTGATACTAACCGGGTCTGTTCTAGAACGGCCGGTGAATTACCCGATTCGAGGGCAGAATTATGTGCCGTAATCATACAATCCGCGAACAAGAAGCGTCCAGAAGAAAGTGGCGATAACCCAGACAAGACAAATTTCCCAATGTGCATTGCGAGGATTTGAAACTTTACAGGCTGTTTTAGTAGCTGGGCACTTACTTGAAATCTCTTGGCAGCGTTCGGAAGAACGCGAACAACGTCGTAGGCCTATCACCGGTCAGCAGATACATGACCAAGGCGGACAGCAGCGATTGTGGGATGAGCCGTTGTCCTATCGCTAATGACAACGAACAGGCCACAGCTGTGATACATGCTAGCGTGGCCGTTTTTTGCCGTATGCTAAGTTTCACTATCATCATGTGTTTGTGTCAGTGCGGGACGGTTTCTTATCCTCCTGTGGAAGGGTTCGGATTCTTGCAAGTGTCCAGGGCTAAGAGCTTACGCTCCTAGCTATACGGTGATGGCGGAAATGCGCGTTCTGGAAAGGAGAGAAAATTTTAAATTAGAAAATGATGCTCCGTTGTCGTCATCGTCGTCGTCGTCGTCGTCGTATTTTGTGTGTGGTGAGCCAATTAAAATCCTTCGTCTCTAGAGGAATCCCGAAGGCGAGAGCAAAGCAAGAGAAAGCATCAATTAGTGATAGACGGACATGTTTTTCCAGTGCACAGGCCAGCACCGGGAGATATGATTGGAACTGGAATTTGAACGACTAATCTCCGATTGATTGATCTGTTTCACAACGTTGGACAGCGAACAGCAGTGCGTCCTGATGTTGATGAGTGGAATCAAGACTCGGCTCGTCGACAATTGGATTTGACTTAGCACTTGCAATGAGAAGTGCGTTCTTGAACGACTCTTTGACCCTTTTTGAGATGACATGAGACTTTGCTTTCTTCTGGGTGTTGTGCTATTGCTTGCCTAGGGAATCTCTAGAGGGGATTGATCACATTCTAATAATTAAAATACGAAATGAATACCAGCATTATACACTTGGTTTATCATTTAATCCGTTAACGCCCAAATTCGTGTGACCTCCGGACAATGTGCGATTTTTCCAGGAGAAACCTAAGGATTATTCTCACATTATTTGAAAACAATATGTTAGGGATATTTCAAGGATCTTTCTAGTGATATTGAAAACATAATTTACGTTCCCAATTTCTGTTAAGACATGATAAAACAAAAAAAAATGCTTTTTTTATAAATAGATCACTGGGCGTTAATGGGTTAAATAACTTTCTAGAATGAAAAAAAAAACGTATGAGCTCGAATGTTGAGAGGGCCCCATCGGGTTGTTCATTTTGATATATAATATGGTACATGAACGGTACTTACGGCTAATTTTGGATGCTATTGTTTGTTTGTTAAAAAAATGGGCTGCTGAGATTAACCCTATGCACACAATAAGACAAGACGAACCTGTTGAAATGCTTAAATTTACATCACGATCCAAGAATTTAAGAAATTTCAGCACAATTGTTTTTTTTTTAGGAACATAAACAGTTCCAATCAAAAGAATATAACAACGTGATTTTTTGACGTAGGATTACGTCTTTCGGCAACATATTGGGGGTTTGATTTCAAAACACCAAAATTGACCGCATTACGAAAAGTGGTCAGGTTTTGACCACATTTAACTCTGTCAATAGCGGATGGATTTTAATTTCAAACAAGCCAATCGATCAGGAATTTTGCTACGAATCTGTTAAATTGAACACTTTGTTAATTTTCAATGGATCACTACTACGTCTCACTGATGGCCACCATGCTGAAGTATCTGTTTGCGTCGTTTCAAAAGATCCTTCCGTGGGCTACCTGTGACGCGAGTTGGACCGCTCACTGTATCCCTTCGGGAAACAGCACCCTTCAGAGGCCCATGAACGGCTCGATAGTTTCCAACTCGACCATAGTTCAGATGAGTTCTTCGGCCGAATTGTATTATAAGTAAGTCTGGACACACTTTCGATTGGTTTCTTCTCGGGACTCTTCTTGGTTACTAAAATCTGGTTCTAATGGTTATGCACATAAGTAGAAATAGTAAGTCTTAACACAATAGCTGATGTTTTCTCACTGGAAGGTGTCGGATTTGGACAGCTCTTCTCGATAATCACATTAATCACCTACTACTCATCGCTGATGGCACTCATTGCAAGCTACATGTTCGATTCATTCAAAAGCCCTCTGGGACGGTAGGAGGTGCCACAGAGAAAGTCAGTAGTTCGGAAATTTACTTCAAGTTAGTAGGTGCTTGGTTTAATAATTAGCAGATATAACGTCATTGTGGAGTTTGCTTTACCATCACGTGTGGACGATTTACTTGACTCAGTTAATAGAGTAAGTATTCCAGTTATGGCATTAACGGTCCTCCAAAAAAACTCATTTTTTTAATTAAACACATAATTTATTTTACATGATGTTAGTCTCAATGATGATCTGCATGCCTAAGTTGAACTTTTTTTAGGTCAATTAGAGGAGCACTACCCAACTAACAATTTTAGCTGCAGATTAGCATATACATGCAAAAATTAGCTTATACAGCTAATTTTTGCCTATGTATGCTAGTATACAGTTGAAACTATTTGTTGGGTAGTGTGTTAATTCGCATACTTTCCCTATTTGATGGAAGAAAGACAACTTGGGTATGTTTGCAAATGCATATCATTAAATTTTTCAAAATATCATCGGTCGTATTCAATATTTTCAAAAACTTTTAGGTGCGCAACTAAGTTCTCGCTATTTTTTTATGAAAATGTAAATTGTAAATAAAAATTTATGAAAATGTAAAAAAAAGTTTACAAATGAATCAAAGTATTGCTCATCGCTAGCTACAAATGTTGTCCATATTTCTGGCAGAGCTTAAATACCGTGACGGTAGAAGTGTTCGTCTTTTGATGCTATCCACGAATCAAGCCATTTTGTGATGTCTTCATATGAGCGGAACTGCTAATCAGCCAGACCACATGTGCCATCGAACGGAACAAGTAATAATCGGACGGTGAAATATCTGGAGAATATGGCGGGTGGGGTAGAACTTCCTATTTGAGCGTTTCCAAGTAGGTTTTAACAGGTCGATATCAAGCGTTGTCATGCTGTAGAATCCATTTTTCGTGATTCTGCTCGTATTGTGGCCGTTTTGAGTTCGATACCGTTCCCCAGTGATGGTTTCGTTTGGTTTCAACAGCTCATAATAAATAACACCAACCTGGGTCCACCAAAACCACAGCATAACCTTCACAGCGTGAATATTCGGCCGAACCGACGACGTAGAAGTATGACCGGGCAGCATTGCTGAGATTTCAAGCTGAATATTGCATTAGATCCTAAGTAACACCCAGACAACCAGAAGTCGTATAACAATGTACAGAGAGTATCGTAAATTGCTACAGTTTAAGTCAAAATCGCATATAAGAATGGCATACCTCGCATTATGTTTAAGTTAAATCGTATAGAATGCAAATTTCCGACCTATATGCGATGACTCATTTTTCCGTCGTACTGTATCACAAATTAAATCGGATTACATCGTAAGACTTTTCAAAATGAATTTGTTATTACAGATTAAATCGTATATGATGTTAAATCAACTCGTTTAAAATTAAATTAAAATATGCACGTATTTGACCTTCACTTTTGTAGGTATAAGCCATTTATTTGCATTCTATACGAATTGTTTGTTTGTATATATGTTTGTATATCACGAAAACAATTCTGAATATACGTGCATTCTGGTTGTCTGGGCATTGATCGGTTCTGTTCGTCGACTTTCTCTTTCGTTGATAACAAGAGCACATAACCACACAGAAAAAATTCTGAATTTTAACTATCGCGTATAATCTCCCTTCGTTTAAATTTGAGCTAAACTTGGCATAAACAGCGAAATCGTTTACAAGTTTGCATACAATATTGCTAATTTATGCGATATTGCACTTAAAATTACACGTAATATCGCGTAAATTTATACCAAATCTAGCGTTAATATTATGTGCACTATATTTCGCAGAAATTTACATGAATTTTTCATATGGTGCAGTTCCTTTTGTGTTTGTTGTAATAGATTCTAGATAAAAGCTTCTTTGTCGATCTGTGTGCTGAAAATACCAGGGAATGTCATTACACGGCCGTGAGGATACAAAGAGAAAGTCGACGAAGAGAATCTGTCAATGTAACTTAGGATCTAATGCAATGTTCAGCTTGATTTGTCCCATATGTTAAGAAAGTGGTCTGATTTACGCAAATCGATATGATTTTTTTCTACGAATCTGTTAAAATTATGGATTTATCATTCTTCAAAATGTCACTATTAATAATGTTGCTATAATAATAGAATGGTCACCGATTGCCTGCAAAAAGCGCTTTCCCTAACACAGATTTCAAAATTGAACTCCATCCGGTCTCACGGAACGCTGTTCATTCAACCTCACCACACGCGGTGGAGAATGGTGTTCTCCAGTACACAAGGAAAGGCTCCCATCAAGCAACTAGATATCAAGGCTGCTCTCAACCGCTGATCGGATTCAGTTGCTCGTCGTGAGCCGCTGTGGGCCATGTATGCCGAGCGTGTCACCCTCGTTCCAAACAACATACAACTCGTTAGCCTCATCCGTTTGGAATACCATAATAGCTCAGCATTACTCAACCATCAGGATAAATTATTGTTGTTTAAGAGTTAATTTTCAATGAACGTTCGCTCGCCTTGCTGCCAGCCACATCACCCCCAAAGCTCTTTGATAATGTACCCAGCAACCAAACGCCGATTTGACCATGTCAAATAACCAGAAACATGTTGTAAGGTTTGCTCCAGGACGCTAGAAAAATCAAAAAAAAAAAATCTCGAATTTATATGATTGATCGCGAATATCTCGCCATTGGAAAAATTTTAGCAAGAAATTTCTCCAATCAATTTTTGCTTTTTTTTATTATCTATTAAATAAACCAAAAGTTCTGTGCGTTTTGTGCACGAAAATGCGTAATTTTGACATCAGAAAACGAGGTGTTTCCGTGTTGGGAAAAGTGGTTTCCCTAATACAGTCGCCGAATATTGATAGCAAGCACTGAGCATACCAGACCGTACCTATCTTTATGCCTTTTGATGCAAATTTTAAGCCTCTCCTATTAAGAGAATTATGCAAAAAAAATCTTGGTTCTTTTAAAAGTTGAGGCTTACCTCCTTTTGGTTTGTTTTTTCCGTCGATCTGGTTTCCGTGCTGAGCACCAATGCTACCGACGTGCCAGGAAGGCAGCTCCCACACCTGGACCCTACCTATCGACCCATCAACTCATGAACCGGGGACCAACGGCTTTACTTCCCATCCGAAGGAAGGCGTGATCAGAGATGTTATGCCTCAGAATATCCCGGCGGCGCCGACTGGGATTGAACCCAGGCCTGCTGGGGTGAGAGGTAATCACGCTCACCACTACACCACCTTCGCCGTTTTAGTTGAGGCTTAAAATTTGCATTAAAAAGCATTAAGAGAATTA